CTGCCTGGCAGGTGCGCAGGCGAGCGGGGCAGGCAGGCAGCAGGGAGCGAGGGCAGAGGCGGGTGCGCCACGGAACGCGCACGGGCGGGCACGGGCCGCGTCTGCGGCCCCTACAGGCACAGGAGTACAGGGAACACGCCAACCCGCATTTCCCGAGCAGAAATCGTCCGTGCAAGCATGCCTCGAGGCCTCCCAGATGGAGTCCAAGCAGGTGGGGCCGGAGGATCGCGCCGCATCCCCGATGCACCGGCGACGTCGGCGACGCCTCGGCGAAACGGGCGTGGAGAAGACCGATCCTCCGATTCCATCTGTAGAGGAGCAAAAAGCGGTTCCGCGCGGATTTCTTGGATCTGCGCTGGCTGGCGCGCGGAGCGCGCTAGGGGCGGCGCAGGGGGCGCCGCCGGGGGGTAGGACCAGCGCGGATCCAAGAAATCCGCGCGGACCGCCACACATTCATGTTCATGTTCAATGGATAAACCGGTCCTCCCATCCCATCGGCTCGGACCCCAACTGGGAGACCTGGAACCCTCCTCCTCCTCCTCCTCCTCCTCCTCCTCCTCCTGGTCCTCTTCCTCCTCCTGCTCCTCCTCCTGCTCCTCCTCCTCCTCCTCCTCTTCCTGCTCCTCCTCCTGATCCTCCTCCTCCTCCTCCTCCTCCTCCTCCTGCCCCTCCTCCTCCTCCTCCTCCTCCTCCTCCTCCGCCCGCTGGGCGCACGGCAGCTGCCTGCGCGCCAGCCATGCGGTGCCCGACAACCGCCTCCGGCGGCCACCCATCGCGCCCCCGATCGGACGCCCCCCTTCCGCCCGTCGCTCTGCCATTGGGACGCCCGAAAGGGGCACGGAAAGAGCGGGTACAATGCCCAACAACAAATGTTGTCCCAAACCGACAGCGGCCGCTGCTGGGCAGGCGGCCTTCTGTCTCGAGTGGACACGGGCCGCGGCGGCGTGGACAGCGAGTCCTGTTCAAAATGCACAGGAACTGCTGTTGGGCATCGTACCCATTCTTTCCGTGCCCATTTCGGGCGTGCAGATGCCAGTCCCGAGTCGGCGGCGAGCGAGGGGACGCCCAGATCGGATCTCAGAGTCCCTCCCCAGACCCCCTCGGGCAATGACAAAAAATCACGACGGGAGGTGTTTCCTCACCGTCAGCCTCCGGGGCCGTCGAAAAACGACTCGGGAGGAGAAGCGGGCCCCGGGGAAGGGGTCGATAACCCTGGGGATCGACGTAATGAACAAATCATGGCGTCGGGGGTCTGGGCCCCCAGACATGCGACGCCCTGACGTGTTCAGCACGCAGTCCCCATAAGTCCCGACCCATTCCCCGGGGACTTTCTTCTCAGCCCGAATCGTTTTTGTTGGCGGTCCCAGGCAGGGCCCGGCGAGGGCCCCCACAGGACGCAAACGGCGAAAATCTTCCCGTCCCGACTTTGTTCGCGATGCGAGCATGCCTGGGTCGACCTCGGTGGCGAGCGAGGGGGGGAAGTGAGAAGGGGCGGGCCTTCTTAGAAGGCTCGGAAGTCCCCCAGGCCTTCGGAGACGTCTTCGGAGCCTTCCCCGAAGACGCACTTCTCCTTTTCACTTCCCCCCCGCGCTCTCCGCCGACCTTCTGTAGCCATTTTGGCTCAAGATGCTTTGTTCCACAGGGGAACACGAAGATACCGCCGCTAGTCCGCGGCTATTGCCAGGGCGACTAGTTCAAGAGTCTCGGCCTTCACCGCGGGATTTGGGCCCCCGCCCCAGGACTGCCGCCAAGGGAATGGCGCCGCCGCGCCACCGAGCGGAAGAGCGCAAACATCAGCGATTCTGCAAGAGCTGCGTCGGGGCCCGTGGCTCGCCATGGTTCAACGCCCCCGACGCGACGTCGTGCGCCAAGTGCAAGCTGGGGAAGGGCCTCTGCTTTAAGGAGCACCGCTTGCCTTCGGCTCCGTCTTCCTCAACACGCGCACCAGGTCGCACGCTGGCGGCATGGACGAGTTCGGTCGAGGTGCAGAAGCTCAAGGCGGAGTTGGCCGCGGCCTACGCCAAGCTCCAGCAGGCCACTGGCCAGGCAGCCAAGCCCCTCAGCCTGAGGAGCCAGCCATCAATGGTGATGAGTACTCCAGGAAAAAAAGGCTACGCGAGCTTGCGGACCTCATCAAGACGGCAGGCTCCAGCACCGACCCGCACATGGTCGCTGCCAAGGAAGCCCACCTCAAAAAGCAGTCTGAGAGAAAGAACAAGCTGGCTGCGGCCAGGCCGTTGGGACAGCGGCTCCGCGACCTGGGAGCGCAGATCACGCGCCAAGAGAAGTTACGCCGAGACCAGGAGCGGAAGCGGGACAACCTCCGCGAGCGGAAGGCGCAGCTTCAAGAGCAGGAGGACGCCGCCACTGGGCAGGTGGCGGAGATTGATCAGCACATGGAGGAGTTGCAGGAGCTGCAGCGCGAGCTCCAGCGCCAAGTGCCAGTTCCGCCGCTGAGCTCCACTGGGCAGCCTGCCGCCGACGAGCCAATCAAGGGCCTCCCTGTCACGCTCGACGGCCTGGGCGAAGTGCTCGCGGCGCTCGGGGCTAACCACGAGCTGGCGGAGCGGCTCAAGACGGAGCGGCTCAAGGCGGCCCGCGCCGCGCAACAAGCTGAGCGCGCTGAACGCGAAGCCGCAGAGCGAGCAAGTCATGCGCATGCTGAGGCGCAGGCCCCAGACGAAGAGATGGAGGTGGGCGCCAAGGACGAGCAGAGTCTGCTCGAGGAGGTGGCCAAGGCGGGAGGAGACAAGCGCAAGATCGCTGAAATCTTCGAGGCGCACGGGGCCAAGGTCAAGCGGACCAAGTCCGAGCCCTCCGTGCCGCAGGAGGCCCCGCCAGCAGCTGCCCCGCCTCAATAGCGGCGGCTCGTCCTTCCAGCGGGTGTTCTTGTCTCTTGTGACTTTCTTTGGATTGGTGACGAGTTCGATTGCTATCACTACTTTGAATGTGTCTGCAGGCGGCCCTCTCATCGACTACCTGAAGTCCTGCCGCAGCATGTGCATCGCTGCGCAGGAACATCACGCCCACGTCGAGGGCGGCGGCCTGGCCAAGGCACAGCAAGACACCTTGGCCGAGGGCTTCCATGGCGTTTGGGAGCCCGCTCTGCCTGGGACGGGTGCTGGGACACAGGTAGGAGTGGCCATCTTGGCGCCCAAACGAATGTCGCTCACTGCCCCGCCAGGCCTAGACGGGCCCACGCTGGAGCCTGGCAGGATGGCAGTCACGAATGTCAGTTGCGGCGGCCGAAAAGGCTTCGACATGGTCTCGGTCTACCTTCGCGTCGACGAGCAGCTGTCGTCCGAGAACCTGGCCATGCTTTTCAAGCTCTACAAGTACCTCAAGGTGCTGGAGGCGATGCAGTTGCCGTGGATCGTGGGCGGCGACTTCAACATGAGGGTTTCTCAGCTGGGGTCATTGGCTTGGTTGCACTCCGTCAGCGGCGTGGCCATTGTTCCGTCGGCCCCCACATGTTTGCAAGCTCTTCCTGGCAGCGCGATCGACTATGTCTTCGCCTCCTGCCCGCTGGCCCCACGACTTGGCCCCAGGCGGCGGTCGGCGAGGCTGACGCTTGGCCACGCCTGCCCGCGACCATCACGATGCGGGCGAAGCCCCGGGACATGTGGATCAGGGATGAAGGGGCCCAAGGACACACAAATCAATACACACAAATAACAGGATTCCACATGTTTTCCCATATTTTCTATGTTGTTGTCATCCCCCCTCTTCCCATAATTCTGTATACTTTTCCTGGGAGTCGACGATTAATTGTGTCTGCGTGTTGCTTCCCCTCCTAAAGGGAGCTGGCGCAGCCGAGAGGGTTCAGCAAGCCCCCCACGGCAGGGTGTGCGCGGCCGCCTCCCGACGGGGAGGCCGCTCCGCCACCGGGCTCGGGAGGCCACCGCGGCGCTGGACATGGCACATGTGTGGGACCAGTTGCTGCTTGGCATCGAATTTGAGTTGCAGGGGAGGTTTGACATTGTTGGACCGTATGCCCAAGTCGGGCGAGGCCCTTAGCCCGCTGCTGCTCGCCGACGCGCCAGAGGGTTTTCCCAGAGAGTCCGAAGACTCCCCGCAGGTGCCTCCGTGGTCGGGGGTCGCGGGCCCTGGGGCCGAGGCCGTCGGCCTGCGCGGCGCGGAGTGTCTCGAAGGTGCCCCAGGCTCGGACTCACTGCCCGCGGAGGCCGTGTGAGTTTCTGTGCACGGTGCGGGCTTTTGTCCGCACCGCCTGAGGCGACCCAGCCTTTCTGGGTCGCCCCCCTTTGTCTCGAGGCGGCTTCGTGATGCGCCTGGCCGCTCTCTGCATTGCTCCGTTGCTCTCCGCCGACCTTGGCTTTCGGGTCAGAACTCGGGTCTCCGGCGGCCGTTCGGGACGATCTGGGCCCCCCCGGAACGCTCTAGGCGCAGCCGCTGGAACGCATCCCGAGGGCGGAAGACCGCCAATAAACTACGAAAGGCCCGAACTCCTCGAACCTCGAAGTTCGAACCTCGAAGTCCCCCCCTCGCTCGCCGCCGACCGAGCCCTCGTCATCGCGTCCCCACCACAAACAAAAGAACGACCGGGCGCTTCCGCCTTGCCCACGCGGCGCACCCGTCAGACTCGCGCGGCAAAAAAGGGAAAAGCCGCGCCCTCTAACCACGGTGGGGGCATTGGGAAAGGAACCAATGGATCAGGAATCCAGGGTCTCGAAGCCACTGGAGCTTCGATCGTGGATTGGCCATGGATCTCACCGCCGCCCATATTAGATAAGGCATCCTCCAGGGTCTGAAGCCCCCTAGGCACATTCCTTAGCGAACGCCCCCACCGTAAGCGAGCCAACACGCTGGCGGCTGAAATGCCGCCGTGGAAAATCCCCGATATGACAAGTCAGCACCAAGGGGGTTGGCTGACCTTTCGACCGAGTGGCCAGGTGCCAGGCAGGCGGCCGCGTCCAGAGTTCCGGCTCAAGAGTAGCGGCGCAGGGGCTCGAAGTACATGGTAGAAGTTGAGACGTGCACCCTCAAGGCGGTGGGTTAAAGGTGTTTGAAGCGGTGCCTGTGGGCGACCGTTTGTACTCGGAGTCGGCATGCTCCATCAACAGCGGCTTCAACGGCCCCAGGACGCGGTCGAAGGAGGACCTGTCGAGGCTCAGCAGAGAGCTGGACATAGTCGTGGAGATCTGAGCGGCTCGCTTCTGGTCCTCTAGGAGAGCCAGCTCCCCGAAATACGTTCCAGGCTCGTAACTCATCACGAACTCCCCGCCCTTGCTTGCACGGCAAGCGCCTTTCTCGAGAATGAAAAACTCGTCACCTTCATCGCCCTCCTCTATGACGATCACGCCGTCGCCAAACCGTCGCTCCCTGAGCACGTCCACGAGCTTGGCTAGCTGGTCGGGGTCGAGGGTCTTCAATACCTCGACTGACTTCAGGAATTCGAGACGCTTTTCCTTGACCTGCCTCAACTGGTTCTTGACGAGGTTGTTGAAGGTGGCGCGGTCGATGCACCACACCACCGACGGCTTCGTCGCGATCACAGTGGCCGCCCGCGGGGCGTTGTACAGGAGCGCCAAGTCTCCGAACAAATCGCCCTGCTTCGAGTAGGTGAATACGTGTCCGAGCGTCCCCTTGTGCACGTGGAGCTCGCCGTCCTCCAGCACGTACAGGCCTCTCTCGCTGTCGCCGACCAGGTCGCCCTCGCGGATCACCGTCGAGCCCTCCTCCAGGCGCACTTCTTCGAAGGCGTCGACTACCTTAGAGGAGCAAGAACTTGCACAAATACTTCGTCCCAGGGTTCTGCGCGGATTTCTTGGATCGTCGCTGGTCTCCCCTTCCTGGCGCGCGGGGCGGGCCCAGCGCGGCGCCGGCGGCGCCACCCGGGGCCGGCGGGGGCCCAGCGCAGATCCGCGCGGATTCGGTGGCAATCCGTGGGAGCTGCCCACACCATCTTGTCGGCTCTTGCGAGTCGACGCGAATTCACGCTAGTCGACGCCAGCCGACGCTAAACCGACGCTAAATCGGCCCTCTCCCATCGGCTCCCAGACGCTGATCGACGCTAGTGGACGCTAAAGACAAACTTGAAATTATACACCAGGCTCCCATGATTAGCTACCGAACATGGAGCTTCGAACATGTATGGTTTTGTCTGTCTTTCTTCATTGCATAAACAAACGAGGACCCCAAACCCTTGGTGAGGGGACCTAAGTTAAGAAGACCAAATGTATTAGGGATAAGGGGGTCTGATCTGCAGATGTACCACGCCAAACGGCCCAGATTTATGATCCCAAGTGCGAAGACGGGGACCTCAGTAAGGCCACGTCTTCATCGTGTGGTTTGGCTTCGGGGCCCTTTTGTTCTCAATGATTGTTCGACTACCTTCTCCATCTGCTCTGGCTCCAGGGCGGCGAACATGAAGCACGAGCCCACGGCCGCAGTCAGCCGGGTCTGCTGCTGTGGCGTCTTCTCGTGCCTCGGCGGCTCCCAGTCCTCGTCCGCCTCGTGCACTTCGGCGCACACTGCCTTCCTGACGTACGCGGTGCCCCTCGATGCCGCCTGCTTCTCTGCGTACGCCTTGGACTCGGCCTCGAAGGCTTCGTCGTCCTGCTCCTCCTCGTCGGACTCCTCGTCCTCGTCCTCGTCGTAGTTCTGCATCATCATTGCCCGCAGCTGCTGCTGCGTCACTATCCCCGTGGCCCTGCGTTGGATGCCCCTCGTGGGCTCGTCGTCCTCGTCCGGGTCGGAATCCTCGGGCATCGTGAACTTGACCTTCACGGCCCCCGTCGACACGCGGTCGATCGGCGCCCCCGCGCCCGCGCTGGCATCGATCGACTCGGTGAAGCAGACCTTCTTCCCTTGCTGGGCGTCCTCCTCCGCCCCGCCGTAGATCTTCGACATCGCGCCCACGGCCCGCGCCACGAAAGCCTCTCCGATGCACGGTTTCCCCCGGGGCCGTAGGCGACCCGAGGAGGAGGAGGAGGAGGAGGAGGAGGAGGAGGAGGAGGAGGAGGAGGAGGAGGAGGAGGATGAGAAGGGGGGGGAGGAGGAGGAAGGGGGGGAGGGAAGGGAGGAGGGGAGGAGGAGGCGGAGGAGGAGGAGGAGGAGGAGCAGGAGAGAGGAGGAGGAGGAGGAGGGGGGGGGAAGGGGGAGGAGGAGATGGAGGAGGAGGAGGAGGAGGAGGAGGAGGAGGAGGAGGAGGACAAGTCGCCTAAGCCCTTCGGAGGAACCCTCCACTCTCCGAGGCCGTGATTGTGGCTCGCAGAGCGAGGGGCCTGGCGGCCTGGCGGCCTGGACCCTGGTTGCTGTGCCAGCGATTCCCTGCGGTTTCCCCTAACGCGGTCCCTGGAAGGCCCGATCCTCTCCCCATGACCGCCTCTTCATCCTCAGTACTTCAAATCCCATACGAATCGCCCCCCCCCCCCCCAAAAAAAAGAGACCCCCCCTCCGAATGCCACCTAATATTCCAGACCCCCCTCTTCGACGGGGTGCCTTGATAAACCGGACCCCCTATGCTCCGATCCAAAGAACGCGCCCTAATAAACTGGACCCACCCAGTTACAAAAAAGGCACCTTGGGACGATGAATAAGAGATTTTGATTAGTCTCTTGAAGGCCCTGGGCCCTGGCTAGGGCCCCGAGAGACCGAAAGCCACGACGACCATGCGAATGGCATGTATCGAAACGTGGGAGGTCTGGGTCCCCGACCCCTCGAAGGCAAGACCCCTTCTGGAACGCGCTAGTTACAGGAGACAATTCATCGCCGCTCTCGGCGAGGGCCCCGAGAGACACAAAATGGCACCATAAACCTTTCGCCGTGATATTTGCGCAGCGACAAATGAGAAGGGACCGACCGTCCCGGCATTCCGACGGCCTACTACGAAATGCCTTTAGAACAAGAGCAAGCTCTGACAGCGGCCACGACGTCCGCAGTACGTCAAGCCCGTGCATCGAATCGAGACGGTCTCAACTAGACATACGCCAAGAGCGTCCTGTGCAAACCACAAACAAAAGGTTATCATACCCTCTTTGGTGGGCCCATTGGCAAGCCAGGACGCCTCGCGGCTGCTCGAGCGGAGGGCGAGAGGAGGTTTGGGAGGACGGAGGAGGAAGGATGAAGGAGGAGTAGGGAGGAGGATGGAGGAGGGAGGAGGAGGGAGGAGGAAGGAAGAGGAGGAGGAGGAGGAGGATCAGGAGGACCAGGAGGAGGAGGAGGAGGAGGAGGAGGAGAGGACAAAGAGGAGGAAGAGGAGGAGGAGGAGGAGAAGGAGGAGGAGGAGGAGCAGGAGGAGGAGGAGCAGGAGGAGGAGGAGGAGGAGGAGGAAGGAGGAGGAGTAGGAGGGGGGGGGAGGAGGAGGAGGAGGAGGAGGAGGAGGAGGAGAGGAGGAGGAGGAGGAGGAGGAGGAGGAGGAGGAGGAGGAGGAGGTGGAGGAGGAGGAGGAGGAGGAGGAGGAGGAGGAGGCCCCAAAGGCCTCCCGGGCCGCGGCGTCGGGGGCGTCGTGGAGCCACTGCGCCAGGAGCTCCGCCGCGTCCGCCCGCAGGCTGCCCGCCTCCAGGCACTGGGCCACCACCGCCGCCTCCGAGAGGAGAGCCCCAAAACAGGGCCGAGCGGAGGAGGGGGAGGAGGACGAGGAGGGGGACGAGGAGGACGAGAAGGACGAGGAGGCGGCGGAGGAGGAGGAGGGGGAGGAGGAGGAGAAGGAGGAGGAGGAGGACGAGGAAGACGAGGAGGCGGAGGAGGAGGAGGCGGAGGAGGAGGAGGCCGAGGGGGGAGGAGGAGGACGAGGAGGACGAGGAGGACGAGGAGGGGGAGGAGGAGGGGGAGGAGGACGAGGATGACGAGGAGGAAGAGGAGGAGGACGAGGAGGAGGAGGGAGGAGGCGGAGGAGGAGGAGGAGGAGGAGGAGGAGGAGGAGGACGAGGAGGAGGAGGAGGACGAGGAGGAGGCTGAGGCGGAGGCGGAGCGTTCTTGTCTGCAGGATTCGGGGGCCGAGCGAAGTGTCTAGATGGGATCCAGAGTTCCCCCCCCCCAAAGCATATGGGATCGAGCTCCCCCCCCCCGGATGGCTACGCCCGTGAGCCTCGAGAAGGCCTGGCGACTGGGGTCGCCTGCTCCTCGCTCTGCGGTCGTGGCCCTGTGGGCGCAGCGTGGTGGAGGGTGGACGTTCGGCTGCTCGCTTTCGCCACGGGCCTTTCGGGGCCAAGGCCGCGGGGCCTCGCGACTAGGCTCGCTCTCCCCCTGTGATCTTTGCCATGCTGTGGGCGTGGCGGGGTGGAGGGTGGACGTCGTCGTCGTCGTCAAAATCGAAGTCGACGTCGACGTCGTCGTCCATCGACGTTGGCTTCGTCGTCGTCGTCGGCGGCGTCGGCGTCGGAGCCGGCGGCTGCGATGGCGTCGGCGTCGGCCTCGCGTCGGCGTGGGCGTCGGTGTGAGCGTCGTCATCGGCATCGGCGTCGGCGTCTGCGACGGCGTCAGCTTCGGCGTCGGTGTCGGCGTCGGCGGCGTCGTCGTCGTCTTCCCCCCATACCATCTAGGGGGGGGGCCTCTGGAACCATGAAACTCATACCATCTTGGGGGGGGCCTGTGAACCCTCGAGCCCGGACTATATGTTGTTCGGCCCGAACTGTTGTTTTGTAGCCACCACTGCCGCCTGACCCTCCTCCCGCAGCTCGGCCCGGAGCTGGTCCGTGTCGCTGACCCCGTAGAGCTCGGGGATGCCGTCCATGAACCAGAGCTCCACCTTGGTCTTGAGCGAGGACTTCCGCTTCATGTGCTCCCCCTCCTCCACGTCCATGGCGGCCTTCCTGCTGCCCGCGCTCTCCACCGACTTCTTCGTGGCCACGGAAGTCGGCGTCGCCGTCTCTGCAGCACGGGCATCGTCTTGGGGCGTGTGGGCCTTCTCGTCCTGCGCCACGACGGAGGGCACCGCCGAGGGCTCTGCCTCTGCCGGGGGCTCGGCCACGGCCTGCTTGTCTTGCACCACGCCGTCGCCCGGCTTGGGAGCAGCCCTTGCGGAAGCTCCGCACCCCATGGCGGCGGGGCGTTTGCGGTTTTCCAGGAACGCTTCCTTCGCACCTTCAGCTCGGCTCGAGCCAGGACTGCGGACGCAGACAGCAGGTCCAACGCACCGAGCAGAGCTGCTGGCACGCGGCCCTGACTAGAACTCCCCTTTGTCCCGATCCTTATCCACCGAGGTGGCTCCAAGAGAGCCCCCGAAGGCCCCGAAGAGAAGAGGATCCCAAGCAAATGGGCCCAACAAGCCCCTCAAACGGCCAAGCACACACCTATACATATATATATATATACACATCTATACATATGTATTACACACATACACATCGATCAATATATATATATATATATGTATGTGGAACTGTAGATGGCTACAATCATGAACGTATGTGTAAATCAGAGTGAGGGGTCCGAGCGGTCCGTCGCAGTCCATGGCTGCGTCGCTAAAGGGGGTTCCGCGGTGCAGAGTGTTGTTGCGTCGTCGTTGTTGTCGCTGTTGCTGTTGAACTCTGACTTCTGTTAAAACAATGTGTGTTGGTCCCCCTTCTGGCGCACATTACAGTTATGCAAATTCAAATGCCCCTCCCGAGGCTCGCACCTTGTTCTGTTAAGCGGGAAAGGCTCGAGGCTCAAACTACATCAACAACAAGAACGAAAGTATTGCAGCAACGGCTCCCGCCTGATATTTCCTCACAATGTATTCCCAAATTGCGCTCTCGCGCGGGAATCCCCCACAATGTATTCAGGAATCGCGCTTTCGCGTGGGATTTCCTCGCAAAGTATTCAGGCACTGCGCCTTCGACATTCAGGACTCACGCTCTCGCTGCGGATTTCCTCACAGTTGATTTGGGAATCGAGCTGTCGTTCGAGACTTCATCGCGATTCATGCAAGACGCACGCTTGAGCGACCCGCCTGCTCGACCTGGCGCCTGGGCCCTCCTTCCCGACCCGCCTGGAATGGTCTATCCGTCGTATCTGCCCGCCTGGTTCTGCCACGTTTTTCTGCTCCTAGCCCGCGCACCATCCTCCTCCCTCCCCCTTGTCCTTCCTTCTATCCATCCTCTCTTCCCCTGCCTCGGGGGGTGCGCGAAATACACGTTGCAGGTAAAAAAGATACCCCCAAGGGGGTACGATCGAAGACGAAGAAGGCGGGTACCGAGGGTTCGGGATATCCGTGTTGAGTGGCCCGCGAGCCAATAAGAGCGAACGGCGTTAAACCCGCTGTTGTTGTTGCTGTTGTTGTTGGGGTTGGTGTTGATGATGTTCGTGTTGTTCTTATTGGTGCTGCTGTTCTTCATGTTGTTTGTTGTCGTCGTCCCACTCGCGACCCAACCAACGGCCCACCCGCCACCCGCCCGCGACCATCCCGAGACCCCCTCACCCGCGACCCACCAACGACCTACCCGCGACCCACCCGCGACCCACCAACGATTCGCCCCGCGAACCAACAACGACCCACCCGCGACCCATCCGCGAACCACACCGCGCCCTCTCTCCCACTCGTATCCGCAACTGCGGGGTGCTATATATATAAATGAATGAATAAATAAATAAATAAATAAATGTATGTATGTATGCATGTATGTATGTATGCATATGTGTGTATATGTATGCGCATACATATATATATATATGTATATATGTATATATGCGGAATCACAAATGAACACGTGACGACCCGAAACATGGCCCTGCGGCCCCCAACACGGGACCCGAGTAGCCCCTGGATAGCTGCAAGAAGCCTCCAAGGACGGCATGAGCGAATTCGTCGAAATGCGATGGTAAGCGATATAGAGAGGGGACATAAACATACATTAGCATGTAACCGAAAGCAGTGTACACTCTTGCAAATGTAAATGCAGCGAGGGCAAGGCAAGCGAGAGAGGGAGAGAGAGTGAGAGTGAGAGAGAGAGAGAGAGCGAGAGAGAAAGAACGACAAAGTCACAAACAATATACCGAGTACCAGAAGAAATATATAACAAGAGAGAGAGAGAGACAAAGAGACGATCTGAGCCATGAACAGGCGTGAAGAGATTCAGGGAGGGTGAGGGAGCGATGGAGAGGAAACAAAGGAAGTATCACGCATCTTGGGTGTCGGCCAGTACCGCGCGCGAAATTAACATTATCATCAATGCACGCGGTGGATGACAATGGTGGGTAACCAGACAAATAAACGGTACACTAATGTATACACATGTTTGCGCAGACGGGGGAACACGATACATACATCAACCTCATAGATGTATACACGCCGATGGAGAGATAGAGAGAACAAGGACGACAGAGAGAGAGAGGGAGAGAGAACGAGAGTCACACACATACATATAGTCATACACACTTCAATACATATGAACTATTTTCCCAATCTGTTTTCATACAGGTGTCTCTGGAAAGTCAGGGAACAGAGAGAGAGAGAGATCGCCAGATAGAGAGAGAGGGACATAACAAAATACATACCTACAGGGAGAGATAGCATCTGAGAGAAACAACGACAACACAACAACACACCAAAACACACATATGCGTAATGAGAGAGAGAGAGGAAGATGGAACATAACAAACACGTCAACGCAACCGCCTTTTCCTCCCTTGCCGTCGGCAACGAGCCAGGGGTACGCGTCCGGGTTCTCCACCACGACGGTGGAGAAGAGGTCCGAGAAGCTGTGGGGCCCATCGCCTAGGGGTGGAAGCCCGAGGATGCCATCCCCTCAACTCCTCAGCGCACCGCACCTCCCGCGCGAAAGCCGAGTCAAGCGAAGACCGTGCGAGGATGCTGTGGGGGCTGCGAATGCAGGACGGCACGCCCCGAGAACTCCGACAAGTCCCAATCTCACGGGCGCGTGCTGCTGGTCGGGCGTGTCCCCCCACAGGGGATTTTGGACGAAAAATAAAAAATACGTTCGGGGGGGCCAGCTCGGTCGGGGGGGAAACATCGAGCTAGAATCAGCGATTCGGACGCACGTTCCTGAGCGGGGTGGGCCACCGTGCCCGTATCGGCGATGATTCGGCGATTGGGGGTTCGATGCATGACCCCCTGAGCTCATCCCCCCCTGACGCTGCCCCTGACATCTACGAGTCCAGTGCGAGAACGCCCCTCTCCGTCCCCCCCCTTTCCTGGTAATGTCACGATTCACTGCGGCGTCGTCCGGGAGTTGGCCATGTCTGAGGGCTCCCAGACGGCGCCGGGGCGAGTCCTGGGGCTACTGGCTCCACCTCCCCCAGGGCACCGCCATATCTCGCCAGGGGATACACGCGTGGTTCCTTCTCGGACCCCATTCGCTCCCCCTCCTCCGACTGCTCCCCCTCCTCCGACTGCTCCACCTGAGCCTATCCCACTCTAACGTTGCCCCTGATATCTGCTCGGACCCCATTCGCTTCTTCTCTCACCGCTCCCCCTCCTCCGGTCGCACCCCCTCCTCCGACTGCTCCCTCTGAGCCTCATTATCCCTCCCTAACTAACGTTGTCCCTGACATCTACTCGGACCCCATTCGCTCCCTCTGCTAGGAGGCGCACGTAGCAGAAGCACATGGGAATTGTGAGGGCCATGCATGTGGAACAACTTCCGGGCGTTACCGCTACGGGGGGGAAATGGGCGGGGGGGTGGGTAACACCCGCTACGCCCAGAGCAAGAGCAGAAAACACGTCCTGAGGGAAACGGGTCCTTGTCCCCTGGGGCATGCCCAAGGATCTTCTCTTACCCTGCGAGAGGCGGCGACGGTTGTGGGGGAGACCCTCAGCAGACCGAACAGGGCGAACAAAGCACACGACCCCTTGCTCTCAGGACCCCGCTCCTTCGCTGGAGGCTTCCTAGATGGGTTAGGAGAAGATGGGGTCGGAAGATCGCGCCGCATCGGCGATGCATCGGGGATGCACCGGCGATGCACTGGCAACGTCGGCTATGCACTGGCGACGTCGGCGTGGAGATAATCGTGCCCCACATCGAGCCGCATCCTCGATGCATCAGCGATGCGGCGCGATCCCCCAAGCCCATCTACTCCGACGCCATCGAGGAAACCTATATTCGCGGCAACCGTCGACTGATAGAGGAAGAACATGAACACATAAGCATAAACTTTCGACGCTCTGGAAGGGCTGCTTGGATTTGCGCTGGGCCCCCCTCCTTGGCTCGCGGAGCGCGCCAGGGGCGGCGCCGGAGGCGCCGCTGGGGGGTCCCAGCGTAGATCAAAGAACTCCGCACGGAGCGTCGACCATTTATGTTTATACGCTCTTTTCTTCTTCGAACCGAGGCCGGGGGGCCTGCCGGCTGGGGCTTCTTCACCAGCTTGAGCATCAGGTGGGGCCTCAGGCCCAGGCAGGCGAAATCGCACTTGGACCACGTGGGCCAGCTCGGCATCGTGATGCGGTCGATCATGTAGGGGGGCACGTCCTCGAGAAGGGAGGCCCACGAGAAGGGAGGGCATGTAGGGGGGCACGTCCTCGAGAAGGGAGGCTTCACGAGAAGGGAGGGCATGTAGGGGGGCACGTCCTCGAGAAATGAGGGCCCACGAGAAGGGAGGGCCCGCCGGGGAAGGCGGGGGAGGACGGAGGGCGGGGAAGGGGAGAACGAGGGGCACGCTCTCCAAGGGGAGGAGGAGGAGGAGGAGGAGGAGGAGGAGGAGGAGGAGGAGGAGGAGGAGGAGGAGGAGGGGGAGGTGGAGGAGGAGGAGGAGGAGGAGGAGGAGGAGGAGGAGGAGGAGGAGGAGGAGGAGACTTCCGTGTAAGCTCCCCGAGACAGCCCCAGAACCAGCACGAGCACGCAGGACATTACCAATGGAGCCCCTGAGACGAACTACAGCCGGGAAGTCCCTGCAAGCACCAGAAGGAGACCTGTTGCCCAGTGCCCAATGACACCTGAGATTGTGTCACCAGTTCTCTTCGAGTGCTCTGTATGGTATACTCTGAGCGCTCCTTCAGGGGCCCAGGGGCCCAACTCACAGGTTTTCGGGCCCTCTTGCGTGTCTTTTTTTGAGGCGGGGCAAAACACGGCCCCCAACAGCGCAGAGCTGGATATACATTTGTATACGTGTAGTTGCAAATGAATATGAAGACATGTGTGTGGTTGTACACAAAAACGAGTGCTAGCCAGCGTGGATCCCAGGTAGTGAGTTATGGCACTGTGGACGTGAAGGGTACGCGGCGAGCGCAATGTAGTGATAGGTAGGCCGTGACAGCGATGTTATGCGAACTATGGAGGTGAATGCTGTACGGTGTAGCCTATGTCATCTCAAAAACTATGTCGCGTGAACTGAGCTGTGTGGACTCTAGAGGTGGAAATAATGGGGGGGGAGGGGGGAAGCTGTGTGGTGTAAGTAAGCTATGTCGTGCACGCTGTGCAAGAGTGCGGACTCGAGAGGGAAACCGTGCGACGTAAGCTGCGCAGGGCGAGCCACGCAGTCAGAGCTACAGTCATCGGCCTGACCCAAGGAGCGACACATAAGGAACGAAGCCCCTTTTCGATCCCAAGGAATGACGCATAAGGAACGATCAATAACAAATAATGCATAAGGAACTGTAAATAATGCATGCAAGCCTAAGGAACGACCGAGCCCCTTTTGAAAAGTAAGTGCTCCTTATTCAAGCCGCTCACTGTGTGCCGCGCGAGCTCGGAGAACGCGGCGCCCACGGGGCGCCCACGAGGCGGCAGCGCGGCGCCGCCGCGGCATGCCACCCAAAAGCGCTGGGTGCCGACGGAGGCGCTCCCGAGGCGGCACGGGTCACCACGCGCGCGGCGAAGACCTGGAGCAGTCCACCAATGAGGAGCGATAGGAGGAGGAGGAGGAGGAGGAGGAGGAGGAGGAGGAGGAGGGGGAGGAGGAGGAGGAGGAGGAGGGAAGCCCTGAGACCCCCGGAGCTCCTCCCCAGAGGCCCCCCAAAAAACACGCCGGGAGGCCTCACTGCAGAGCCCTTCCGGAGGGCCCCCCAAGGCACCCCGAACAGCCCCGAAGAGCCCCCTATATGAGACCTCCGAGAGGCACTCGAGAGGCATCCCAAGAGATCCAAAGAGGCATCCAAGAGGACTCTGACCCACAACCTAAGCAGGGTGGCGGGATGGGTCGCAGGCCGCTACACAGCGAGCAGTACTCCGAATCCAGCTATGCTAGTACTCCGCCTTTGCATCGCCGAGAAATACCCCCGAGGCGGCAAACAGATGCTCAACTTATATCTACATTATATATATATGTATTCAACATACCACAGTTGCGGATGTGCAAGCGCGGGTAGGTCTCCCTTGGCTTTCGGGCTGGGTCGCGAGTGGGACGACGACAACAACACCACAACAACAATCCGCACAGTACAACTCCACTTCAGCCACGCACCCAGGAGCAATGAATGGGCGTTCGGCCCCGTCACTCTGATAAGAGAGCGTTTCTTTGTGTTCGGCGATGACTGGCGTCATGGACGGGGGGGGGGGGCGGGGGGGCTCTGGCACCACAGCCGCGCCCGCGCGCACGACGCGACGAGCGACGAGCGACAAGCGACGACGACGACGACGCGAGCAGCATGTAGGTGGCGATCTGCCCCCCTGCGCCTGTGTACACCACAACGCTCGCGTGCACCACAACGCGCGTGTACACCACAGCACCTGCGTACATCGCAATAGTGCAACGCAGCGCCTGTGTGCATTGCACTGCTTGCGTACACTACAGCGCCGCTGTACATGTGCACACCGGAGGCAACCATGTGCGACACAGCGCCTGTGTACACCGCAGTGCTTGCGTGCACCGCGGCGCCTGTGCACGCCACAGCGCCTGTCTACACCACAGCATCCGCGTGCAACGCAGCGCTATTGTACACCACAATGCCTGCGTGCATAGGACAGGTAGAAAGAGCCTGTACGTGAGGATCTGCTGCGAAAGCGCCACGCAACGAAAGTGCTGATAATCGAATGCGACGTGTTTCCCTCTTCCCTTCTCCTCCACTTCCACCTCCTCCTCCTCCTCCTCCTTTTTCTCTTCGTCTTCTTCCTCCTCCTCCTCCTTACCCCCTGTCGTGCGGGTTAGCGCTACAGCGCACGTGCGCAACTCAGCGTGCACCGCAAAATGGTCTATTGAATCGGCCCACTTGGTTCTCGGATGGCAAATTTAGCTGGACCCCCCTGGACGCAGATGGGAGGAGTTACGGTGATGCGGACAAACTCGGAAGGACTCGTAGATCCCCCTGGCGCTCCCTTGTCCATAAGGATTTGTTCTGGTGTTAACGGTGGAGTCCACAAATGCTCCATTTTGTCATAACGATTCCTGCTAACATTCTACATGCAACACTGGTGCTGTGTTGCACACGGTTGCTGCGGTGCACACAAGCGCCGTGGTGTACACAGGCACTGCAATGCACGCAGGCATTGTGGTGTACACTGCTGTGTTGCACACGGCTGATGTGGTGTACGCAGGAGCTGTGATGTACACAAGAGCTGTTGTGCCCGCGCGCGCGGTGGCACAGACTGACGCTGTGTTGCACGCGGTTGCTGTGGTGTACATAAGCGGCGTGGTGTACACAGGCGCTGTGGTGCACGCAGGCACTGAGGTGTACACAGGCGTTGTGGTGCAGATCGCCACCTACATGCTGGTGCAACCCGTCCTCCGTCATTTCCAGGCATTCCCAGGCGCCGCCGGCGCGAAGCGAAACGTTATCGACCCCCTCCATCCCCCCAGATGATTGCCATCACCGGCCCGGAATTGAAAAAACAGGCTCCAGCCGCGTCCGTGCGCACGACGCGACGAGCCATTAGCCACGCGCCACGAGCGACGACGACGACGACGACGACGTCGACGACGACGACTGCGGACCAGACTCCTATGCGGATTCCTACGCTGACACCTACGCGGATCCCAATGCGCACGGCGGCAGTGCCCAGAGCGCACTGAGGGGGGGGAGCGTTACGTCATAGGAGGGGGGCGGGCCATGACGCCCGTCATGCCCCAAGCAATAAAGAAATGGTCTCTAATCATACATGCACAATATGTATATATACACACATATATATATATGGTATATACACGTCTTGTTATATATGTATATACATATATTCGACCCTCGATCCTCCATCGACGACTACAACGGGGACATCGACACGGAGGCGCGTGCAGCCAGGGTCCTTGTGCAGCTGCCAGTGCGCCGCGCGGTCCGAGAGCTGGTGCTTGTGCACCGGCTCCGTCTCTATGGTCTTCGCTGGAGGGGGGGCCCAGAATCCACAGAGGGGGGAGGGACGACAACGACCACGACGACGACGACGACGACGACGACGACGTAGAGCGACGAAATCTGCACACATCCACAGCTCACTGGGCAGACCCATCCGCAGTCCCGCGGCGGTGTGTGCGCCACGCCCTCCTGGCTTGGCCAAAGAGTTTGGACGCCCGAAATGGGTACGGAAAAGATGGGTACAATGGCCAACAACAGAAGTTGTCCCGAACCAACATCGGCCGCTGTTGGGCAGGCGGCCTTCTGTCTCAGATGGACACAGCCCGCGGCGGCGTGGACAGCGAGTCCTGCTCAAAATGAGCAGGAACTGCTGTTGGGCACTGTGCCCATTCTTTCCGTACCCATTTCGGGCGTCCAGAAGGAAGGCGTCTGCACGGCTCCTGGGCCCCAGAGGGGCCCGGGCGGGGAGCAATGGGTGTGAATACATTTTTGTCGCCGGCACAAAACCACAGCTCACTGGGCAGACCCGTCCTCAGCCCCGCAGCGGTGTGTGCGCCACGCCCTCCTGGCTTGGCCAGGAGGGGGAGGAGGAGGAGGAGGAGGAGGAGGAGGAGGAGGAGGAGGAGGGCGTCTGCACGGCTCCTGGGCCCTGGCGGGGCCCGGGCGGGGAGCAAAATGGGCGTGAAGACGTACTTTGTTTGTCGCCAACCCGGCGACGGAGGCGGAGAGAGGAGGCACGCAGATCGCCCCACAGGCTGGAGGGGGAGGAGGGAGGAGGGGGAGGAGGAGGAGGAGGAGGAGGAGGGGGAGGAGGAGGAGGTGGAGGAGGAGGGGGAGGAGGAGGAGGGGGAGGAGGAGGAGGAGGGGGGAGAGGAGGGGGAGGAGGAGAGAGGAGTAACAGACGGCACACGCACACAGAAACGTCGGATTCTTGAACCTGCGAGGGGGCCCCCTTCCCGGCGCGCGGAGCGCGCGGGGGGGGGGCCCGAAGCTGCCACGCAGATGCAAGACGCAAGACATCCGCGCGAAGCTCACTGAAACTCGATGTTCACGCATACATTTTAAAACAGGGGATATTTCGGCTCCTATCAGAGGCTTCGAAAAGGTTTCGAATGGACCAGAAGTGGTGGGCCCGACCCTGGGATACGATGGGGGTCGCCCATCCTCAATATGGGGGGCGTCCGAAGAGCCCTCCTGGGGGTGCATCCCAAGGTTCCCCCCCTGTCTCCGGGGCGGCCAGACCTTTCGGGCGGAGCTCGCGGACTGGGGGAGGACAGTCGCCCTCGATCTTCTTCTCCCGGATGGAGGGGGTGGCAGGGAAGACGAACGGGGCGACGAGGACGGGGCTTCCACGGAAGAGGAGAGGCGCGTGCCGCGGGCCGCCTTGGGATGCACCCCCCCTGGAAAAATCCACTGGCGGCCACACATGTCGGGCGGAGCTCGTCGAATGGGGGGACAAAAAATCACCCGCGCTGCGGCAAGCAAGGGCGTTTGACGAGGAATTGGGCGTGCATCCGTGGGTGGAGGAGGGGATGCAACGGGGCGGTGGGGGGGAGGAGAGAAAGGTGCCCCCTTTGGGCCCCGCGAGCATATTTGGGGGGCCAAAACGAAAGAGCCCCTTTGAAGGGCCCTAAGAGGCCCAGGTTTATGATAGCCTTCGCTGCTCCCTCGTTCATCGCCCACCCATCGCTGCACAGTCCTTTCAGACGTGTTGCAGCGGACTTGTCGCGTGGATTTCTGCCGATGCAAAACCCCGAAGCGGCGACAGAGAAACGAAACGCAGGGATTGTTTTCAATCTTCACTCCTGGCCCCAATAAATCCGCACGGAATTCACCTGGAAATCCAGAGCGCCACGAGACCGTTTTCTTTTGAATCGGCGATCACCCGGGTTATCCCAGGGGGGGAGGAGGGGGCCGGCGATAACCTAACCCTCGCGCTGTGGGCAGCCCTGCGTATGCCCGCGAACCCCCTCCCGCGGACCTGCACAACTGCCAAGGTTAGGTTATCCTGGGGGGGGGGGAGGGGGGGGGCAAGCCCGATGGCCCGGGCTATCGCCCGACCCTAACAAAAAACAGCTTCCACTCTCGAAGACGATCCGGGCTCACCCCATGGCTTTCCAAACGGAATCCGCTCTGCGATGCCGGCGCCATGACGCCCGCCACGCGAGGCCCGAGAGGCGGCGTGGGCGGGAGAGGCCGCCCCGGAGGAGGTGGAGGAGGAGGAGGAGGAGGAGGAGGAGGAGGAGGAGGAGGAAGAGGAGGAGGAGGGGGAGGGGGAGGGGGAGGAGGAAGAGGAGGCGGAGGAGGAGGAGGCGGAGGAGGAGGAGGGGGAGGAGGAGGAGGAGGAGGAGGAGGCGGAGGAGGAGGAGGAGGAGGAGGAGGAGGAGGAGGAGGAGGAGGAGGAGGAGGAGCGCGGAGCCGTCCGCGCCGCTGCCTGCGCTTCAGCTGCCCCGCGGGCTCGAGCCTCCCCCTTTTGCTGATGTTACCAGCCTGGAACAAATCCCTATCCCTAAGCTGGGCATCGCCTCAACACAATGCCAATCTTAGGGGTTCCCATAGTTTTTCAGGGCGCATCCCTAAGATTGTCATCGCCTTTTGGCGTGTCAATCTTAGGGATAGGGATAAGTTCGAGGATGATAAACCTGGGGTGCGCGAGTCGAGCCACGCGGCCCCTGGTCGCCCGCGCGCCGCGCGCGCGCGGCCCCAGGCAGACCTGCCTCGGACGAAGCGGCAACTGGCTGCAAGGGGCGGGCGCGGAGCCTCCCCCCCTGCGTCGGTGCGCGTCGGACGCGGATGCCTGGGGCAGCGAGGGCTGCCAGAGAGGAGCAGCAGGCTGCACATCGCGGAACGCTGTGCGGCTTCGCGAGGTCCCCCCTCCAGAGCCTGCGACGCCGTCCCCAGCGCGGCGCGCGCCTGCTGACACGGCGCGTGCAGAAAGGCGTCGGAAGAATAGGGGAGAATGATGGCGGAGAAAGTGGTGGACGGATGATGTATTCGATGGCCAGAAACGGCACTATGCCGATACATTACAGCGTGGCTCAGCTCTGTGCTGATATCATGAGAACGTCGAATGGCGTTGCATCGATTATCCGGTATACTCGTACGCTATATAATTTACAAACTCAGGTACACAACGATGATACACCTGTATGGCGTATGCTATGTTACCATGTGCGGTATGGTGTTCCGCTAGGTTCCGAAAGTCTCTGCTCTGTTCCCAACTATAACATATTCCTGTATTATAGTATGATGTGTTTGGTTAATCGCGGATTGTGTGCTAGTATGTACTAGTTTGCTCATTTCTGATATGTGATTGTATCATGTGTATTCGTTGCTGCTCAATACTCATATAGAATGTGCGGTCTTGATGTTGCCAGTCGTATTATTCTCTAGTGCTATGCTGCACCAGATGTCGGCATGGCATGTTCTGCTCTGCCCTACTAGTATATGGGAAGCCCTAGTCGGTCAAGCTTGGAACTTATTACCATGAAATCGGTTGTACAATGCTCTTTCGGATTATGAAATGAGTTGTTTCTTGTCTTACATACTGCTGCATACGGTTCGGATACTTCATGATATTCCTTGTTGTGTTGTGGGGTATTATACGGCTGTGGATTCTACTCACTCCTGGCAGACATTCCTTATTCGTGGCGTATGGTGGAACGATCTTGTATGGCATATTTGCTAAAGCCCTACTGGAACATAGAATCGCACGTCCTGCTCGATTAGGTTTGAAACTAGTATCTTCCATTATGTTCTGCTTTGTTCCGACGCAGTACTCCCGTACTGAATTGGCCACGGCAACGGCTCGACGTCGTGACGCCTGGACTTCTGAGCGCGTGACGCGGTGCATTCCGTCGAGGACGCGAAGCGGGCCAGTCGGGGACATCTGGTGGTCCTTGGGGTGCGCTGGCGGCCATATGCAACGTGAGAAGAGGCGTATCGGAAGCACCGTCCCGAAAAAAAAACGTACATCAGTAGCTGCTGCTGTGTACTGTGATAGCACATGCTGTGTTCGATGATTCCAGCTGTGGTAGCTTCGACCGTAGCATGTTCTGTGATGGGTCTCTCGATTCGGCTGCTTGGCGGTATCTCATCTTGATGTTACTGATCCCGTCCTCCTCGGTAATAGAACATACAACTATAATCTGATACAACGAAAACAAGTATGTACGCTCTGTTATGGTAGAGCGTGCTTCGTTATCCCCAGGTGGTGGTGGTTCGCTCTGTTACATATGTACATATTATTTCGATGCTGGCGCGCGCAACATAATGTTATGATATGGTATCTTTCCGGGCATACGATGCGATTTCTAGCTGTACCACTAGTCGTAGTAGCAGCAGTAGTAGTAGTAGCAGAAAAAGTAGCAATAATAAGACTCGTCGTGGACAGAAACCGAAATAGTAGTCGTAAGAATAACAGTTGTAGTGGTAGTGGTACTAGTACTAGCAGTAGCAGTAGTAGTAGTAGTAGTAGTAGTAGTAGTAGTAGTAGCAGTAGCAGTAGCAGTAGCAGTAGCAGTAGTAGTAGTTGTAGTAGTAGTAGTAGTAGTAGTAGTGGTAGTCGTAGTAGTAGTAGTGGTGGTAGTAGTAGTAGTAGTAGTGGTAGTGGTGGTAGTAGTAGTAGTCGTAGTAGTAGTAGTAGTAATAGTAGTAGCGGTAGTCGTAGTAATGGTGGAAGTGGTAGTACTGATAGAAACAGAAATCGTCGTGGTGCCAGTAGTAGTAGTAGTAGTAGCAGTAGTAGTAGTAGTGGTGGTAGTAGTAGTAGTAGTAGTAGTGGTAGTAGTAGTAGGAGTAGTAGTAGTAGTAGTAATAGTAGTAGTAGTAGTAGGTAGTAGTGGTAGTACTAGTTGTCGTAGGCGTAGTAGTAGTAGTAGTAGTAGTAGTAATAGTAGTAGTCGTAGTAGTAGTAGTATTATTATTAGTATTAGTAGTAGTAGTAGTAGTAGTGGTCGTAGTACTAGTTGTAGTAGTAGTAGTAGTACTAGTAGTAGTAGTAGTAGCAGTAGTAGTAATAATAGTAG